GAGGACTCAGACTGTCAAAGACAATAACAACAACAACAACAACAACAACAACAACAACAACAGTTAGTGGATGGGCTGACACACTGTGTGTCCTGCGGTGTTTAATAATCATCAACAGAACAGGTGAACAGGTTCTCCAGTGAAGAGAGAGAAGAGTGAGGAACAAACCTGCAGGTGAGGACACAACTTCCTGTTCCTCATTCTTCTCTTTCTTCTTCTGTGCACGTTTGCAGCAGCTGCAGACTCTATACTGCCACCTTCAGGTGATGTGCTCCTCTAACTTCTTTACTGTAAATCTGTTTGTTTGGCCTTTGGATCTTTGGAAAAAATCTAAAAATCACAAATTTATTTTTTCAGCTGTTTTAGCTACCTGTTAGTGTGATTTAGTGATATCACTGAATCACAAATGTATTTTTTCAGCTGTTTCAGCTACCTGTTAGCGTAGTGATTTAGATAAATGAACAGAGGTTTGGATACGACGTGTCGGACAACCAGCTATTATGGATTTTGTTACATGTATCTACAGCTAACGTTTAACTATTTTAAGAAGACTTTTCTTTAGCTTTCATCTAATTAAATTACAATGTTTCTTCATCGTTAGCTTACTTTGCTACAGTACATACATGCGGTTCATCGGTCACTACTTTTGTCAAATTTGACATTATTTCAAAGCTAACATTTAGCTTAGTTTGTCTTTGTCTCAGACAGAAGCTGGAGGACCAAAGAAAAGGTTCTCGGAGCAGAAGCTGTTAAACCTGAGTCTGTGTGCAGTCCTACGGTGACGAAACAACTCAGCCATCTCAGATTAGCCTCCTGTTAAATTATACGACTTTTTCCACTGAGCTGTTCCTCACATTTACATTCCTCACTGCTAGTTAACACTAAAGGCTAATGTGAGGAGCAGCAGTGTAAAAATGAGTTTACGGGCATGCACGCAAAACAGCAAACAACACGGACGCACACTGAGGCAGATGTACTCACCCTGCTGACACAAAGGCTGCCTCTGTCGCTAAGTTCACTGTTTAAAACCAAAAAATTTGTTTAGGTTCACCTTAGTGACACAAACTGACCACAGGAGGCAGCACTGTACCTGCAGCTCTTGTGGATTCTATGATTCTTGTGTGGAAGAGTGAGGGGTTAATAGTTTAGTACTGTTAAGACGTGAGCTGAAGTTATTAGTCTTTTATTAAAGAACTTGAACCAAAGAACATCTTTGAACCAACCCGAAAATGAACTCCGTATGTTGGATCCACAACTCCACCTATTACACCGTATCAGTGCAGGCTGTGAGGTCACACCTGTGTGTGTGTGTGTGTGTGTGTGTAAGCTGATATCAGAGCTGTGAACTCAGGCTGTGTGTCAGATCTCACATGTACAGATGGCGCTCCTGCAGTTTTATTAGCTGCAAGTGTTTGATCTTATAGCCTCCTCCTCCTCCTCCTCCTCACTAACATGCTTGTGTGTGTGTGTGTGTGTGTGTGTGTTGTTGCAGGTGATAATGAAACAACCAGGATCCTGTTTGCCAGT